AATTTTATTGTATTATTAAAAGTTCTCTAATAAAAATAAAAGATATAAATATATGTAATTTACGCTCACGAATCTATTGTTTTTCATAATATAATCACAAATATAAAACTTCTCTTGTCTGTTATTTCAATTCTTTTAATTCATTTTTTTTTTAAATTCATTTTTTCTTTCTTTCTCTCTCTCTCTCTTCTCTCTTTCTCTTTTTTATCTTTTGATTTTTTTATTCCACCTATTTTTTCGATTTCCATTTCTAATTTTTTTTTTCAGACTTTTTATTTTATGTTAATTTCTCAATCGCCATTTATTTTATTTTTTTTTTATTTCTCGATCCCGTCTATTCTGTTCTACTCTTTTTTTTTTATTTCTCAATCTCGTTTATTTCGTTCTTTTTTTTTATTTTTCGATCCCGTTTATTTCGTTTTTCTTTTTTTTATTTCTGTACATTTATTTCGTTTTTTTCTTTTCTTTTTTTTATTTCTCAATCCTATTTATTTCATTTTTTTATTTTTTTTATTTCTTAATCTCATTTATTTCATTTTTTTCTTTTCCTTCTCTATTTTTCAATCCCATTTATTTCAGTTTCTCCTCTCTCTTTTTATTTCTCAATCCCGTTTATTTCATTTTTTCCTTTTCTTTCTCTATTTCTCGATCCCGTTTATTTCATTTTCTCCTCCTTTCTTTTTATTTCTCGATCCCCGTTTATTTCATTTTTTTTTATTTCTCGATCCCACCTATTTCGTCTTCCTCCTTTTTTTTATTTCTATCATTATGGCTTTGGCTGCTCCTGCTGTAGCTCTATTTGAATAGACAGTTGATGCTGCAAGAGAATTAATTCGACTTCGATGCGATAATCAAAACGATTTTGAGTTCATTCTTAACAATTGCCATGAAAGGATATGAAGAACCATATCCAACCAATTGTTTATTAATAGAGGGTTCGCCGCTTCTCCTTCTCAATGTCGAAGAAAATGGTACTCATTAAAATATGGATATGAAAATCTCAAGAGGTTGAAAGTTACGGAGAATCCCTACGATTAACCAATAACAAACCCAACTCTGCATGATCAGATATTTCATGCAGAGTTGGGTGACGAATGTTAGCTTCAAACTAGTAATTATTTATTAAATAATAGTAATAAGAAATATATTTTTTACTTTTTAAAACATCAAATTTTTAATTTAATTATTATTTTGTATTATTTTTAGACGTAAATCGTCGTCGGTATAGAAGACAGAATGTAGATCGCTACCAGTATCAGTACCGACATAGATCTCGTTCTCGCTAGGATCATAGATCCCATTCTCATGGTCATTCTCAGGATCGTAGATCACATTTTCACCGTCATTCAAGGGATCATAGATCCCATTCCTGAAGATACAGAAGGAGGTTATATTCTTCACGAAAGAGAAGTTTTTTGCCGAGAAGACATTAATTTTATTTTTTTATTTTTATTTTAATTTTTTATTTATTTTATTTTTTTTTAATTTTAATTTTTAATTTAATTTTTTTATTTTTTATTTTATTTTTATTTTTATTTTTAATTTTAATTTAATTTTTATTTTTATTTTTTAATTTTAATAATTTAATTTTAATTTTTTATTTTATTTTAATTTTTATTTTTAATTTTAATTTAATTTTAATTTTTATTTTTTAATTTTAATAATTTAATTTTTATTTTTTATTTTATTTTAATTTTTATTTTTAATATTAATTTAATTTTATTTTTTATTTTATTTTTAATTTTTATTTTTATTTTTTATTTTTATTTTTATTTTTTAATTTTAATTTTTTTTTATATATATTATTTTTTTTATTTTATAATAAATTTTTTTTTAAAAAAAATATTGTAATAGTATTGCAATGCCCAAATAGTTACACAAATTAATATTATTTTAATTTATTACACAATCGTAATTAAAAAATTCTAATCTAATTAAGTATCAATCATCTTGATTATGTAATTTGATAGTATAAACAGATTTGTCATTTTTTTCGATCATTTTCATTTTGGTATATTTTTCGTTAAATTTGTGAACGTTGACAATAAAATCAAATGTTAAAAATACCTAATACTTTATAAACAAGTATATCAGACTGTAGCGTTGTATTATCTGAATTCTGTCAATTTCATAAATTACCAAACTCTAAATACGTTTTACATTCTAATGATGGAAAGTCTTATTGGTTTGACTGTATAATTAAAGAACTCATCATCTTCGCTTCAAAATATATTTTATTAATATGTTGTTGCTATTGACATACACTAGTCGAAATAATCCAATTCATCACTTTTTTAAAGTGCTGAATGTTGGCTAAAATATAATCTAATTTCTGCCGATCATTGCCAAAACAATCGGCATTTTTAGTTATAGCCGATGTTACCTAATTCAGATGCCACACAAAATAATATTCAACATTAATGATTGGTAGTAGTTTGATACGTTTGATACAATCAGCTTAAATTTGTTTAACTAATAAAACAAACAAAATTCGACTTAGTTAATAAAAAGTTTGGTAATATTTTGGCTATATGGGCAGTATTCTATTAAAATTAAGGTACAGATCATATGATTTACTATGTCTCATAACCCACTTTTAATAGATCAGCTCCTATATGTTTGATAAAATTGGCTTAAATTCGTTTAATTAATAAACAAACAAAATTCGACCTAGTTAATAAAAAGTTCGGTAATATTTTAGTATAAGTAATCAAAAAATCAGTAAAATAAAATTTTCGATATTTAGATGATCTTATTAATATCTATTTTCGCATTTTAGACGATTTATTAATTTTATAATAACGTAATTTAATTGAATTAATAATAATTGGTTTATTAATTTAAAATATAAAATAAAATATAAATATAATATAATTATAA